GAGAACTTCTACACAGCAAAAGAAACTATCAAGGGAGTAAATAGACAACCTACAGAAAGGGATAAAATATTCACAAACTGTGCATCTGTCAAAGGTCTAATATCCAGAATCTATAAGGAACTTAAACAAATCAACAAGCAAAATAAACAAAAACAAAACAAAACAACAAAAATACCAAAAAACAAAAACCAAATAAACCATTAAAAAAAGGGGCAAAGGACATGAACAGACACTTCTTAAAAGAAGACATACAAGATGCCAACTAACATATGAAAAAATGCTCATCATCACCAATCAGAGAAATATAAATCAAAACCACAATGAAATATCATCTCACAGTAATCAGCTTTTGTTAAAAAGCCAAAAACAAAAAACAGATGTTGGTGAGTCCAAGGAGAAAAGGGAACACTTAATCAGTTAATGGGAATGTAAATCAGTTCAGCCACTGTGGAGAGCAATTTGGAGATTTCTCAAGGAAGTGATAGCTGAACTTACTATTCAACCCAGCAGTCCCACTAGTAGGTACATATCCAAAGGAAAATAAATTATTTTACCAAAAAGACACATACACCTATGTGTTCCTTTCAGTGCTATTCACAATAGTAAAGACACGAAATCAACCCAAGTGCCCATCAATGGTGGACTGGATAAAGCAAAAGTGGTACATATATACCATGGAATACTATGAAGCCATCAAAAAGAATGAAATAATGTCTTCTGCTGCAACATAGATGCAGCTGGAAACCATTAAACTAAGTGAACTAATGAAGAAACAGAAAACCAAATACCCCATGTTCTCCCTTATAAGTGGGAACTAAACATTGGGTAAACATGGACATAAAAATGGGAACAACAGATACTGGGGAATACAAGAGAGGAGTAGGAGAGAGGGCACTAAGGGTTGAAATAAACTACCTATTGGCATACTATGCTCACTACTTGGGTTACGGATTCATTCATGCTCCAAACCTCAGCATCATACAGTATACCTTTGTAACAAACCTGCATGCAATTCTAAAATAAAAATTGAAAAAAGTAAAACAGAAGACATATATTTATAATAATAAAAATAAAATAAAATAAATAAATAAAAATAAAACCTCAAAAATGAAGGAATATGATATGGTTTGGCTGTGTCTCAGATCTCATCTTGAATTGTAATTCCCACAATTCCCACGTGTCATGGGAGGACCCTGGTGGGAGGTGATTGAATCATGGGGCAGGTCTTTCCCAGGCTGTTCTCATGATAGTGAATGAGTCTCACAAGATCTGATGGTTTTAAAAACAAGAGTTTTCCTTGCATAAGCTCCTCTTTTTGCCTGCCAACGTCCACATAAGATGCGACTTGATCCTCCTTGCCTTCTGCCATGATTGTGAGGCCTCCCCAGCCACGTGGAACTGTACGTTATTAATTAAACCTTTATCCTATATAAATTACCCAGTCTCAGGTATGTCTTTGTCAGCAGCATGAAAACAGACTAACACAGAATAGTAAATTATTTTTTACTTTATAAAGGAAAAGGACAAATTATAAGTTTATTTTAAATATTAAGGTCTCCAGTAATTTTAAAAATGTTTCTTTTCATTTATAATTTTTTTTTTTTTTAGATGGGGTCTTGCCCTGTTGTCCAGGCTGGAGTGCAGTGGCCTGATTTCAGCTCACTGCAACCTCTGGCTCCCAGGTTCAAGAGATTCTCCTGCCTCAGCTTCCTGAAAAGCTGGGATTACAGGCGCCTGCTATCACACCTGACTAATTTTGGTATTTTTAGTAGAGACAAGGTTTCACCATGTTGGCCAGGCTGGTTTCGAACTCCTGACCTCGTGATCCTCCCACCACAGCCTCCCCAAATGCTGGGATTACAGGCACGAGCCACTGTGCCCAGCCCTTTTCATATGTAATGCTTTTGTTTGTTATTTACACTCGTTGCACTATTTATTCTAAATACAAAGCAGACCTTGAGACATATAGAAACCTAGGCCTTGAGACCAGCCTGGCCAACATGGTGAAACCCCATCTCAACAAAAAAAAATACAAAAAATGGCCAGGCATGGTGGCACATGCCTATAATCCCAGCTACTCGGGAGGCTGAGGCAGGAGAATGGCTTAAACCAGTGAGGTGGAGGTTGCAGTGAGCTGAGATCATGCTATTGCACTCCAGTGTGTGGCGACAGAGCAAGACTCTGTTTCAAAAAAAGAAAAAGGTCAGGCACGGTGGCTCAGGCCTGTAATCCCAGCACTTTGGGAGGCTGAGTGGGGTGGATCACCTGAGCTCGGCAGTTCAAGACCAGCCTGACCAACATGGAGAAACCCCGTCTCTACTAAAAATACAAAATTAGCCAGGCATGTTGGCACATGCCTGTAATCCCAGTTACTCAGGAGGCTGAGGCAGGAGAATTGCAGGAGAATTGCTTGAATCCAGGAGGTGGAGGTTGTGGTGAGCCAAGATCGTGCCATTGCACTCTAGCCTGGGCAACAAGAGCGAAACTCCATCTCAAAAAAAAAAAAAAAAAAAAGAAAGAAAGAAAAAAAAGAAAAAAAGAAAACTAAGCCATCTTTAATGATGATATTCATGTCATCATTCATAAAGTTCATCTTTATAAAGGCTTTCTTTTGCATTCTGATTTCATGATTTTCATAATTATAACTAAACTGTGCTTTGTTATTACCCACAGTCATAAGTTCGGTTTATATCTACAACTCATTGAATTTGTGTTTAGACATTTTTTTAAAAAGAGGCCTCAGACAAAGACTTCATGACTAAAACACCAAAGCAATGGCAACAAAACCCAAATTTGACAAATGGGATCTAATTAAACTAAAGAGCTTCTGCACAGCAAAAGAAACTATCATCAGAGTGAACAGGCAACCTACAGAATGGGGGAAAATTTTTGCAATCTATCCATCTCACAAAGGGCTAATATCCAGAATCTACAAGGAACTTAAACAAATTTACAAGAAAAATACAAACAATCCCATCAAAAAGTGGGTGAAGGAAATGAACAGACACTTCTCAAAAGAAGACATTTATGTGGCCAACAAACTTATGAAAAAAAGCTCATCATCACTGGTCATTAAAGAAATGCAAATCAAAACCACAAGGAGATACCATCTCATGCCAGTTAGAATGACGATCATTAAAAAGTCAGGAAACAACAGGTGCTGGAGAGGATGCAGAGAAATAGGAACACTTTTACACTGTTGGTGGGTATGTAAATTAGTTCAATCATTGTGGAAGACCGTGTGATGATTCCTCAAAGATCTAGAACCAGAAATACTATTTGACCCAGCAATCCCATTACTGGGTATATACCTAAAGCATTATAAATCATTCTCCTATAAAGACATGCACACGTATGTTTATTGCAGCACTGTTCACAATTGCATAGACTTGGAACTAACCCAAATGCCCATCAATGATAGACTGGATTAAGAAAATGTGGCACATGTACACCATGGAATACTATGCAGCCACAAAAAAGGATGAGTCCATGTCCTTTGCAGCGACATGGATGAAGCTGGAAACCGTCATTCTCAGCAAACTAACACAGGAACAGAAAACCAAACACTGCATGTTCTCACTCATAAGTGGGATTGTGCAATGAGAACACATGGACACAGGGAGGGGAACATCACACACCAGGGCCTGTTGGGGGGTGCAGGGGCAAGGGGAGGGATAACATTAGGAGAAATACCCAGTGTAGATGACAGGTTGATGGGTGCAGCAAACACCACAGCACGTGTATACCTATGTAACAAACCTGCATGTTCTGCAAGTGTATCCCAGAACTTAAAGTCTAATAAAATTTAAAAAAAGAGGCCCCGGAGAGAGCTGCCCTGTACTTTCCACCATCTGAGGGCACAGTGAAAAGGTACCATCTATGAACTGATATCAAGTTCTCATCAGACACGGATTTACCAGTGCCTTGACTGTGAATTTTCAGAATCCAGAATTTTCAGAAATAAATTTTGTTTATAAACCACTCCGTTTATGATATTTTGTTATGACAGCCTGAATGGACTAAGACAGTAGGATATTTTTAATTTTCAAGTATCAGGATTACTCTTATCCAAAAATTCCAATGCTGAGAATTTATCCTAAGTAATTCAAAAATAGAAAGTATTTATGGAAATGTATATCCACTACAATAGTACTTATAATAATGAAAATGTCATAATGTAAATGTCCAACAATATTGAAATAGTTGTGAATAATATACCTGTAGAGTGAAATATTAGATTTTTAAAAAGACACAGAATTTGTTAATGATAAAATGTTAAGTTAAAATATATTAGAATAAATGGGTATTTTTCAGCTATTAATATGGAAACATTTTTGGTATATAATGTTGATAATATTATGATGGAATTTTACTTTTTCTACTAAGCGTTTAAAAAGTAAAGAGAAGAAGATAATTCACAAAATATTAGCCAGGATTAACTCTTAATTTGTGGAGTTAGAAATGCTTTATATTTTCTTTTCTGGGCTGCCATTATTCTTTTATTTTCACCATGCTGTACTTCTCCTTGTTTCCCTGTAAAACTATTCTAGATTAAAGTAGAGTTATATATTTAAAAATATAATGCTTTGGTTATTATTGAAATACTCATTTTAAATTACATTGCAAATATTTCAATCTCTACTCATAATACTTTTATTGTTCCTTAATGGAAAGAATTTAAAAAAATTAAACGAGAAGAATTCTATTTTATAAGTTCCCTTTTTCCAGTGCAAAAGTTTAATACAGTTTTACTTTAGTACCAAAGAAAAAGAACAAAAAAGAATGTTTTAAGATGGAAAGTATGGAAGAGAAAGATATCTAAGGTGCCAAATTTTTGACTTTGTAATTTAATAGAAACAATGCAAACTCCTGCAGGCAAATAATCTATGTTGCAAACTGTTGACACACATCAATCAAGGTTATGCCTCCTCAGCTCACTGCATCCTGTCAATTCAGTCTGAACTTCTCAGTGAAGATGGTTAGTAAAATTGTGACTCTACCTGTCAAATGATGGCTTCTCCCCACAGTCAAAGGCATCTTGGAGCTCCTTAACAAGATTAGCCTGGCCTGGCAGTCGAAAGAGACCCTCTTCTTTCAGCCCCCTTTGTCGGATAAAGTCCACGCACTGCTCCACCAACATCGGAGCCAGACGGTTTCCGTATCTCTTCTCATAACGAACAGTATCCTCCAGTTTCTGTCCAAAAATGCCTAAAAAAGTAAAGGATTACAGTGAACTTGAAAAATTTATCTCTTCCCACTTTGTTGTTGTTGTTGTTTTAATTCAATATAACAGAAAAACAAAGATTGGAATGCTAGCAAGCACTTAACATTCAGTATTTCACATTATTATACGATCAAATTCATTATATACAATTCCTCAAATGGTATGAATTTACCTTGTGCTGCCCCTTTCTTGTATTCTATGTTTAGCCCAAAACCAAAACAGAAATACAGAGTTTGAGATATCCATTTTGAAATAAGAAAAACTGTAATAAATGTAACTTGAGTTTGGGGTTTTCATTTTTTTTTTTTTCCTTTTAGGAAAGAAATGGTATTCAATAGCTTAAAAGCAGAAATATGCTGCTGAAAATAGTCAAATTCTACCTTTATTACAGTTTTATATTTATGTCCAATTTACACTTAAATCCTATTTCTTTTTTCCCCTTTTGTTTTTACTCAAGTTGTGATGCCATGACTGTAATCAAGGTGATAAAACCAGGAAAAGAAACCCTGAATTTTCTCCCATACGAAATATTTCAGACACTGTTTGCATGTCTTAAACTATTAACTTATTTGAAAGTGAAAAATTGAAATTTACAAAGCAGAGCATACTAAAAGTGGAGAGGTGGGCTCATAGTGACTTGCCCTAACAGGTAGGGAATTTTATCAAGTACATTGTTTAGAATTGGCAGTACATGGTGGCAGTAAAAAGCAGGCCAAGTTTTAGTTAGATTTATTAATGATTTTGCAATACCTACAAACCATACATTCCTTGGTGTATACACCTGAGCCAAAAACAGTCACTATTTCATCCTTAGGACTTCACTAATTAAGAGATTATATTTTTGAAATATATTAATATTAGGTAGTAGCTTGGTAAAAATTATCAACCTATGAGAAAGGGGGGGAAACAGCCAAAGCAAATGTGACTCCAATGTTCCCAGAAGGAATGAATGTCATGAAATTATTGTAATGGTCTAAGGAGTTTCATAAAAGGGGAAGAAAAGTAAGTGGTACATGTTGAAATTAGGTAAGACTTCAGAATGTGTGGGGAACTATTTAACAGCCATTAGGTTAAGGATTAGATCATACCAACAGATGCTTTGCCCCCCCACCTGTAACGTAATGTCTTTATGGATTCATTAGTGCAAAACTGTCACATTTCAAGCAATAAAGAATTGTTACCAAAGAAAATATTCTTAGCTCAGGTAGAAACGATAACAGGAAACACAACTATTCTACAACTAGTATAAAATTTAGCACTAATGAAATACATATATTCCATTTAGGAAATAATGTTGAGTAACCTAATGTCAATATTCAAGCATATAAAGCAGAATTAGAAATAGTGTTTTTTAAGGGCAGTAAAGATTAGAGCAGACAACAGGTCTAGTTAGCTTGGTTTGTAGACTTTAGAACAAATAGTTCCTTGATAATCGTGTATCAAACATTATTCACCAACTCCAACAGACACTGACATCCCCTTCTCCCTTGACATTTCCATTATAGAAGCTGGACAATTAAAGACTTCTTCCACTTCCCTTGCAGAGGGGTGGTCACGTGCCACAGTCCTGGTCAATAAGTCTTCTTGTAGCCTTTAGGAAGACTTGCTCTTCTTGATGAAAAGGAAAAGCATTTGTAATTGTCAATCACTCCTTTTGCCTGTCTTCAACTTGGGCATGATACAGGCTCTTGTTATAGTCATCTTTTGTCCATTAGGCAACAATCACAAGGGAAAGGCTAAAAGATTAACAGATATGCTGAGGCTGAATTTATTGAACTACTGATCCAATACTGGCCGCACCTTTGTCCAGATAGCTTTTAATGTGAGAAAAACAAGCTGATGTGCGTTTAAGCCAGTTTTCTATTCCTTCAGCAAAACAAAATTCTAATCCATTCAATGGTAATAACAATTTTTGGAGATATTCTAGTGTTTTAATAATAAGGTTTACAAATTGGCTATGTTGGAGAATATAGACCCTTCCTGTGGAGAACTTTGAAAACAAACGTCATGCTTATTTGCCTCTACTGTTTGAACTATATCCTGCCAAAATTAAGTAAATAGCCTTTTAGAAGACTTACAGATCATTTAAGAAAATAATATGTTGACATTTGGAAATAAATTTTATGTATGTGTGATTTTTTTTTTTTTACTTTGGATTTTTGCTTTCGATTGATAAATATATTACCTAAGGGTTCTCTCCAAATCCAACAGAAAATCTACTAAAGATGTTGCAATTCAATGACTCTGTGTGCTACAAACATGAACAAAACTTCCAAAATTCGGGTTTATACAGTAATGAAAAACAGTCAAACATTCTTTTCTCAAAGCTTTCAGGATTTTTTTTCTTTTCCCAACAACTCAAGGAAGCAATAAAGAAAGGGGTGTTTTGCTTTAGACGTGTATTTGGTTTCCTTTTTACTTTCTTGTGCATGCAGGTTTGCCTTTATAATAAAATAAGAATTTAAAACTATAGCAAGAAACTTAAATTCATTAAGTATTTATTATACTCTGAGTCCCTCACAATATTCTCTCATCTTTATAAGAAACATGTAAGGTAACTATCATTCTCTCTTTTTCACTCAGAAAATTTGGGCTCAGAGAGATGAAACAATCTGTCTAAGGTTAGTTACAGAGCACCAAGTGGCAGAATGGAAGTCCACATTCAGATTTATTTAGCTTTAAAATCTTTGCTCATTCCTGAATATCAGTCCTTTTCCTATGTATTTAATCACAATCGTGAGTCCTCACTTTCTAGTAATTAAAAATATTAGTACATTCTACAACTGAGTAAAACCATGTACCTTTTTTGTGCTTTTAAAAAGTGATAATAGCTAAGCTGTACTTACATATGCCAGGCACGTTACAAGCAGTTTACCTGCATTTCTCTCATTTAAAATTCATAACACCTTGTGAGGCAGGCACCACCATTCCTTGCACTTTAAGGAGGAGGAGCTTGAAGCACAGAAAGGTCAAGTAACTTGCCAAATGTCACACAGCAGTAAATGGTGGAGCTAAGGCTTGTTTGAGGCAGTGGGATATCAGAGCCACTCAGTGTCTATTACACAATACTGTGTAGTATGCACAATGGCTGAAAACAGCAATGGAGGAAGACACCTGCCATTTATTAGCTTTCTGACCTCAATTCCTCCCATCACATTAGGATCAATGATTTGTGCTGAGAAAATGTAAATTGGGAGTTGGGGGAGGTCAGGAAAAAAAAGAGAAGGAAAATACTCTGGAGCTTCAATGAGCATGCTGTCCCCCAAAGCAATTTCCTTTTTAAAAAGCTGATGCCTTTAATATAGCAGTATAATATGTAAAAAAGTTTTAAAGCATGTAGACAACATGTATATATGGTTTAAAATTCCTGTCGGAAAATCAGTTTTCTGCTGTAGAACTGGTCTTGCAAAGAATGAGTAAAGAATTTTAATAGACGTATACTCCCCATTCTGTAGCACTGGAAATAGAGTGTGCCAAATATTTCTGGCTTAAAATGGTAGATGTAGGTTGCCCTTCTGCCTAAGAATGTTCCTTGGGAGGAAAGCTATTGATGGGAAAAAATCATTAAAAAAAAAACAGATTTATTTAAAAATTTTCTTGAGGGAGCAGTGAAACTTCAAATTTTAAAATTAACACAAAAGCACAAAGGTCATGTGCTACCCCCAGCTAACAGCATGAAGAAAGGACACAGTGACTAGTAGATTATTAACAATACTCCCTGGGATGTGGGTCACGCGAACAGTTCCAGCTATGTCCACTTAAACTCCCAGCAAGTTTTCACACACTCTGACAAAACCGTCCCCAGTATTTGTGGGCGGTGATGAATATCATGCCTACCTCTCCTCCATGTGAAAGTACATTGATATGTCATAAAACATCACCCAGGATGTGACTTTTCACTGGATTGAGAAAGTAAATCACACAGGTGAATTTATTATACTGGTAGGTGGTTGTTTCCAGTGGAACAAGCAAGAGAGAAACCGCCACAGCCTTCAGGGTTTGAGAGGGTCCCCCTTTACATGTAATTTATAGAGCCAATAGCTAGAGGCTGACTGTGAAGTGAGTGACTGTGATGCTATAAATACATTCATATTTCATTCTTCCTGAAAATAAATAAGCAAAGATGAATCTAAACATTCTTCGACTCTGTGCCCTGTAACTACATATTCTCTTTGCTCCTCAATTCCCAGTGAAGTATGTGACTCTGTCTCCTTTTCATCATTTTCTATCCACTTTCTAACTTTTGCAATTTGATATCTGACCCAGTTATAACAATAAAATGGCTTTTTCCACGGTCACCAATAACTTCCTAATTGCCAAATCATTGACAGCCAAATTTGTTCTTTGTATTACTTCTTGTCTCACTCCCTTTAAAACTGTCAGTCTCCTTCTTCTTCCTGACACTTCACATGTTACATGATTTTTGCCTCTCAATGCCCTTCTCAGTCTCTTTCTTGACTATGCTAACTATTACACTCTTTAATAGTTATCTGGGTTCTGTCCTCAGCTCCGTTTTTACTTAACCCGATACAGTTACTCTACTAGACTCCACTTAATTTCACTACATATTAATTATTTTCAGGTTTGTATCTCAATTTGGGCTATTGCTATAATTTCCAGCATTGGATTTCTGGGTGCCCAGTAGAACTCTCAATAGGGATAGCTCAAACATTTTCAAACTCAAAATTTCTAAAGCTGAATAAGTCATCTCTTTTTAAAAACCTGTTCTGTGTCCTTTAATCCTAATTTTGGTTATCAGTACATACAAGCTATTCCCCCAAAACATTGAAGTGCCATCTGAGAATCCACCTACATTCCTCTTTCCTTCAAGCTACTCATTTAATCACCATGCTGATCGCCTCCAAGCTCCTTACCACTGCATTAGGTTAGATATTCAGTATTTCTCCGATGATTTTTTGAAGAGCAGAGTTCCCAAGCCAGCCAAGTGCTGCCATGGTGGACTTCATAATATTTCAATTGGATC